AAATTTTATTTATTTATTGGCTGCGTTGGGTCTTTGTTGCTGCGTGTGGGCTTTCTCTAGTTGCAGCGAGTGGGGGCTACTCTTCATTGCGGTGCGCGGGCTTCTCACTGCGGTGGCTTCTCTTGTTGTGGAGCACGGGCTCTAGGTGTGCATGCTTCAGTAGTTGTGGCACGCGGGCTCAGCAGTTGTGGCTCACGGGCTCTAGAGCGCAGCCTCGGCAGTTGTGGCACACGGGCTCAGTTGCTTCACGGCATGTGGGATCTTCCTGGACCAGGGATCGAACCCGTGTCCCCTGCATTGTCAGGCGGATTCTTAACCACTGCACCACCAGGGAAGCCCCCAGAGAACTCATTTTATGAGGCCAGTAGAACCTCAATACCAAAAGCTTATTTTTGGCTCTGACTTGAATGAAAATGCTCTGAAGTTTTATCACTAAGTGTGTTGCTGTAGGTTTTATGTAGGTACCTGTATTAGGTTAAGACATTTCCTTCCATTCCTAGTTTACTCTAAGCTCTTTTTTTTTAAATCATGAATGAGCACTGGATTTTTAATACTAAATTTTTTTAAATATTAAATTTTATTCTGTGCTTTTTCTGCATCTGTTTAATTAGCTGTATCGTTTTTCTTTTTCAATCTGGTAATGTAGTGTTATTACATAAACATGTTCTCAACGCCAAGCCATCCTTGCATTCCTTGGACAAACGTACTTTGTTGTCATATAATAACATTTTTTGTATTAAGGGTGAATGATTTAAATCCTTAATTTAAGAATTAATAATTTATTAATTTTAAATTATTTATATTAAGGAATAAGTATTCCCTTAATCACCACTTCTGTTCAACATTGTACTAAAAAATGGAACCAATGTAATATGACCTTCCACCCAACGAAGAAAAGCAAATAAATAAACAAAAATTGAAAGATAGGTAAAAGAAATTCTAAAAGGAAAATACAAAACTGTTCTTAGTTTTTCCACAGTCAAACCATCAGCTCTGTTTAAGAGAGTTCAAAAGGTTGTAAGATTCAGCTTCCCTGGTGGCGCAGTGGTTGAGAGTCCGCCTGCCGATGCAGGGGACAGGGGTTCGCGCCCCGGTCCGGGAAGATCCCACATGCCGCGGAGCGGCTGGGCCCGTGAGCCGTGGCCGCTGAGCCTGCGCGTCCGGAGCCTGTGCTCCGCAACGGGAGAGGCCACAGTGGTGAGAGGCCCACGTACCGCAAAAAAAACAAAAACAAAAAACAAAAAAACGTAGACTACAAAGATGTCTGAAAACAGTGCTCATTAATTATTTTGAAATGCAGAATCTCCTGGTTGAAGATGATGATGATTTCAGTACAGTCAGAGATGACATTGGAAGAGAAAAACAGAAAGCATTTGCTCTGGGGAAAAAGAAGAGGTAAGTTAGTTAGCGTCCTCACCTACGTGACAGATTCCACCGCGACCTCTAGGCGCTGGCGTGCCTGCTCTCGCTGGAAGGCTCCTGACTGAGGCGTGGACAGCAGAGCCCTCCTCCCTGCCTGCGCTTGCCCACCTTCTCTCCATCACCTCCTAGAGTGGCTTCCTGGGGACCGTGCAGGAGGAACCTGGGTGCAGCTCACTGCGCGGAGGGGGCCCCTCCCCAAGCTCCGGGTCTCGTTCTCCCTCCGCCGGGGCCCTGTTCCTGCAGTCGGCCTCCCCCATCCCTGGGTCTCTTCCTTCAGACACCCGCCCTGGCTTGTCTAGGGTTCGCGCTTCCTGACCCTGCTCCAGCTGTGTCCTCCTGCTGTCACCTCGTCACTCCCCCGTCACTCTCCACCCCGTCTGTCCCCTCCAGGCAGCCAGCCAGGTTGCTAACCCAGCCGACCCTCCCCTTGGAGGGAGCTCCCTCCCCATCCCTCTTCCTCGCTCTGCTCTGCCCGAGTCACGTCACCTTGGGTGGGCTCTCGCTCCTTCCTCTTCTGTACACAGCCCAGCTCTCTCCTGGCCTCCAGACCACGGACACCTGTCAGAATCTGCTGGAACCTTCTACCAGTGCTGATGCTTCAACCTCCACGTGCCTGGGCCTGGCTCCCACCACCGTGGTCTGCACGCCCCCGCAGGCCACACTAGGGGTGCGGGTGGTCGTCCTGATCTGTCCCCACTTCCAGTCTCCCGAGGTCTCGTGTCCTGTCCGCGTCCTCATTGCTTCTGGCGTGGTGGCCTCTCCTGTCTGCGGTAGCCTTTGACCCAGGCCGCCCGCCCGGCCCCCTCGGCCTTCCTCTCCTCCCGCCTCCCACGGCTTGGGTACCAGTGTCACAGGCGTTGTGACGGCAGCAAGAAGACGTGCCCTCCGCCTGGCATGCAGGACAGGGAAGCGAGGGCCGGGGTGGAGGCGGTGTCCCCCAGGTGTGTGACCCTGTAACCATGTGCGGAGCTGGGCGTTTCAGACGTGAGCCTCTGTGAAGGTCACGCTTGGATTGGGAAGGTGAAGCAGGAAAGACTGTGCTGCTCTGAGACACCTTCCCTCAGCCGCTGGGAAAAGCCCCGAGGCTGGACCGCTCTGCGGGGAGGGCGTGGGAATGCGCCCCGGGGAGGGGTACCCGGAGGCCCCTGAGGGAGCAGTGCGGAAATGCTGCCCAAACTGCCAACGTGCGTCTCTGCTGCCTGCCCGCCCTGACTTGACCCTGAAAGTTAGAATGAGATGTGGAGTCACTCCTCGACCTGGTGGGGCCCTTGGCGTCCGGGATGTGACCCCGTGATGGCCTCTGTGTCCCTGCAGCCAGGAAGCCCTTCGTGTGCAGAGCAGCGACGTCCCCTCTGGTGCAGAGACGCCTGCCCGCCCCCGTGGACCAGAAGCTTCTCTCTCCATCCACGTCGGGAGCTTCAGATAGCACAGGGCCTCCACACTCCTGCTGCAGGTCCTGGCCCATTTCCTGGTTTCTGCCCGGTGCAGACACAGACTCAGAGCCCTGCTTTGTCACGAGCAAAGAAGGCGCTCCATCGCAGGCCAGGCGAGTGCGCTTGTCACCCGCTCGCTCCGTGGCGCGTCCCCCCGGGCTGGCACGGACTTGGCCACACCACAGGTGCCAACCAGCCGACACCCTCGCGCCAACACTCGAGCCCCGCCACCATCTTTATACAAAAATTGACTAGTTTTGCATTAACTGCAGGCATGGGTGACGTGCTACGTGGCTCATCCCTGCACACCCGTCTCTAAAGTACACCCGCCCCACTCTCTCTCTCACGCTGTTCAGGTATCTGTGGCCGCCCAGGCTCTGACAGCTCGGCTCACAGCGATGGGCTGGCCAGGCTCGTGCTGTGACATAAACAGGAGTGTTTTCTGGTCCCCAAACGGCACGTTTCCCCTTTGGTCTGAGTTAGAAGTGGTTCTGAAGCGTTAGTTACCTCTCTTTCCGGGATGAGGAGACCGACGGGGCATCCTCTGAGGTCGGGTGCCGCTGGGGAGGGGGCAGCATGAGCTGGCGTCCGACCCGTGCTGTCTGTGGTCAGAACAGAGATCTCGCCAGGGCCTCCTCCTTCTGGGAGCCTGACGAGGCGGCAGGGTCGTAGCCAACAAGCCTGGGGGAGGGCTGAGGGGGCAGTCCTGAGGAGCCTCGATTAAAATGGGAAAAAGGAAGTGTGAACCAAGAGTCTTCTTAATGCAGCATAGCTGGCTATATATCCCATTTAAAAGATGTAAGTGGTATTTATGACAGCCACGTTGCATCTGTGTTACTAAGCCGAGTGATTTAGGACACCGGGGTGATTCACTTTCTCAAGCTAACTCAGTCGGAAGCAGGAAAAACAATAAATACTTTCTTATACCTCAGTGATGCTTTATAGCGACTCTCTTGCTAAGTGTGGTTATCTTCTTGATTTCACAGTTTTTCATCAGCCTTTTTACCACTGATGATATTAAAATAGCTCTTAAATGTAAGGGATGGAAAGGAAATGACACATGTGGGCTAGGCCTCCGCCTGCACCACCGGCTTAAGGAAATTGCGTGAATGAATGTTGCTGCGCCTGTGCTGCTCTTCCGCAGAGCTTGCCACTGAGTGGAATGAATGCCCTGCCCTTCCTTCCTCTGTCCTCCCTCCTTCCAAACAGTGTCAACACCACCACTAGAAACTCTGGTCTCTGTGTGTGCGTCTGAAATTGTTGGCTCGCGAATTACCTACTCATTTGTGTTGAAGCGGTCGTGTTTTAAGAAGTTGGACTTTGGCGAGTGCTTCCGGCCTCAGACACTAACTCTGTCTCAGGAGACGCGCGTGTGGGGGTCCAGACTCTCCAGACGCACCTGGCGGGCAGTGACGAGGCTGAAGTGTAAGCTCCCTGACTGACTGCCCCTCTGTGTAGAGGCTCTTCTGTCCCTTTTCCCGTAACTGACAGGGCTCCTTGGTGTGCTCCCTTCATTCCACTGTAATAAAACATTAATGTTCTAACTGAAAAGCCTTGCTTCTGAGAAGCCGGCGGCCTCAGTGGGCATCACCTACCACGACAGGCAGGGGTCGAGGTGCTGCACGGTGTCCACGGTGAACGGCCGGGGCCTCGGGTGGTCTCTGCTTGTCGGCTTGCTCCCCTCCCTCCTTCCTTCCTTCCTTCCTTCCTTCCTTCCTTCCTTCCTTCCTTCCTTCCAGTTCGGGGATGGAGTGGGGCTCCAGGGAGAGCTGTAAGAGTTTGTTAAAGAAAAAATAAACTGTTCAATTTGTAACTTCCCATCTCTGTGCGCTGACTGCTTCATGTTCTCCTGGCCTTTTTCCCAAGCGGACTTCAGATGCTAAGTCGCTGGGGTTTATGTTTAGAAATACCACTTCAGTACTGCTGTAGAAATAACAGAACTGTGTTTTGGTTTTAAATAAACTCAGACTCGTGGTAATAATTGTATTTGAAGAAACTGGAAGTGGTCTGGTTCTCTTTTCCTTCTAGGAAAATAGAACCGGCAGGGGTGCTTGTGTTACAGAAAACATATTTACTCAAATGTGACACTTTCCTGGCAAAAAGGGGAGGCGGGGCCCAAGAAGTCCGTGATAATCCAGAATCCTGGCTCAGAGAGGTTGGCTTCCCTCTGGGACAGACTTGGCTGTGAAGGGCCAAGTCCTGGGCCCCTCAGCCTGGCCAGATGGGGGATGCAGCAGCCGCACCTTCCGTGCTCAGTCCTGCCCTGTCAGTAAAAGACGTGACCAGTCACCGTGGGTGTGTGTACGTTCTGGGAAGGCACCGCACTGCAGAGAGGAAGGTGAAGCCATGACAGCGACACACAAGCTAGTTAAAGGAAGAGACATCTCCAGCGCCCACCAGGAGCTCGTTGCCTGCATCCTGGCTCAGGCTGCCTTGAGCAGACCTGACGCGCCCGCAGCTTCTCCCCCGGGGAGAAGGCGGCTCTAGTCCCGGGGCGGGGGTGGGGGGCACCCTGCGGGGCCCCCACCTTCCTATCAGCAGCCCCAACCCCACAGCCCAGGGGCCGGGCCCTCGGGCCCACCGGCTCCTACCTGCAGCCTGGGGTCTGGGTTGGGCCCGACGGATGGAGCGCCTCGCGGTTCGGCCAGCAGCAGCTCAATGACATGAATGATTTGACTTGGAACCAGCATACTGAGGGGGTGGGGACCACGATACAACGGCTCTTCTGGAAGTCGAGGCCACCCCGGGTGGTCACGGCCTCCATGGTGACGAGCGCTGCACAACGGCCCTGCCTGGCACTGCGGAGGCCCGCCCAGCCCCGAGGGTGCACCTGGCGGCGGCCACACTAGAACACTTTCCTCCTGCACGCACACGTCCTGGAGACCTGGGACCACAGGCAATTTTGTTCTCAGCGTGGGGCCCGGCTGGCAACATGACTTCCCGGAAAGTGCAGCTCAGCAGGCTTTTTGGTCGATCTGCTTCCGTCCACGGCATGAGCAAGAAAGCCTTCAGGTCCCCAGCTGGCGGGTTTTCCTCTGCGAGTTTTACAACCTGCTTATTAGGCTTTTGTGATCAAAACTGGCAACAGACGCTACTCCGAGGCCGGTACCTGGGCTGGGCGGCCAGCGTGGTCACAGTTGCCATCCCAGTGTGAGAGGGACCACAGGCTCCCAGGCCAGGATGTCTGTGTGTGACTTAGGCCGTTCCCTCACCTGTCACTGTGGGCTGGGGTTGGTGTCAGGCCTGGGACACAGGACCAGCATGGCCCTCGAGGTGTGATCTCCGGTACCCAACTGCCCCGTGACTCCCGTCCGTGCCACGTGCTGCTGGGACAAGTCGTGAACTTCTCTGAGCCTGTGTCCTCATCTGTAAAGTGCAGATACCCACCTCGTAGGATTTGCTAAGGAACACAGGTGAGTTAGGATGTGTAAAGTCCTTAAGCCGGCACCTGGCATAAAATAACAGAAATGTGTTAGGCCAGCAGCACCGTGATCAGCCATCACTGGCATAGCCCCATTCCCTCTGCACCCACCCGTTTGTTTGTTTAGTCATGAGTGTGTGATACAATTCTAGACAATGAGACATTAGGGGAGGTCAGTGGAAGCCAGACTTTCTGAAAGGTTTCCTTTTACCTTAAAAAGAGACGCAGAAGAGACAACCCCCCTATACACCCACACCTTAGCCTGGACATAGTCATGTCTGGATGTGATCCCTGGAATAGTGGCAGTTATTTTGTAAGCATGAGGCCTGATCCTGGATGGCCAGGTGGGAGGAGCATGCACACCAGGACAAAAATGGGGCTCTGCTAAGCATAGGAGAGAGAAGAAAGCTGCTGGGGAGGCAACCTACACATCCAAAGCCCACACAGCCCTATGGTACCCTGCCTGGTTTTCGACTCCGTGATCCCAGCCCCCATCCCTCACCCCAGGAAACTGGGGGATGATTAAAGTGACCTTGAGCTTGGAGAGGCAGCTCCCTTGTAATAAAGGTACTATGATTAAACAGAGCAGTAAGTAGGAGAGCTCCGGTTTGCAGTTACATGTAAAAGACTTAGGAGGTTAGGATATTAGCTAAAATGACCCAGCCCTCAGTAGGTTGGGCTGAAGCTGCATGTGATTAAGCCTGAGATCCTTGGTGCTACCTGGCCCCAAGGCTGCTGAATTTTTAATTCAATAGATCCTAGAACCTACACCCTAAATAATACAATGGCATTCATCCCACTTTGCTTTTCAGCCACGGCCAATTCAACCTGTTTTTAGAGCGGCTGAAAAACGTAATTCTAAACCCAGTTCGGGAAGATTTTTGGCAACGACATCTTACGTCCAAGCACAAGGAACGATAACAAGAAACCCGACAGTGAAAGATCAAAAACAGGCTTGTTTTATTTATACACAGAACAACGTATTTACAACTCCAGATGTGGATATGTACATAGCGATACAGGAGGTGTTTGCTTCCACGGTGGGCACTGTATAAATTAAGATCATAAATATGGGGGAAGCCCCACCAGAGGGCACAAAACCTTTTCTCCAAGACTCCAGGGATCCCTCCTCCCTCCCTCTACACTGACAGGACCGTGAGACCCCGGGGACCCCCGAGGGACTGCCGTCCAGCAGCACGGCGGGGGCAGGGGCCCAGAGGGCAGCCCCACGCGCAGCAACACGCACCACAACGCGCGTGGGACGCCGCCCTGCAGACGCGGCCTCGCGCAACGCTCGTTCCACTCGCTCTCACTACTCTCAGAAAGTGGTTTCACGTAAACAGTGTTGCTCTAATCACTGACGACGTTACCTTTAAACACCACGCTTGACCTAAACCTAAGGCTTTCCCACGGGAGGGCGCTGAGGGCCGCGGTGACCCCCGAGCACCGGCCACCAAGCCCCGCGTGGGCCCTCCTCCGCCGAGTCCCGGCCTGTGCGTCGGCCTGAAGGCCTCAGAGCCCGGGGGCCCCCGCCCACCACCTCCCTCCACCCGCGGCGGCGGCTCTGACGGG